GAGTTGTGCTTGATGATGTGCATCGGGGCGCTCTTGAGGCTGCCCTGGCGGGGGGAGCGGACGGCAGGCGGGGGGCGGGCGGCCTCGGTGGCCTCCCCCCGCAGCTCCATCTCGATGGTCATGACGACTTTGGGGGGCCGGGTGGCCCCGGCGCCCGCCCCCGCAGTACCTTCCCTGCCCGCTAACCGCTATTTCTTATCCTTGCGGGAGTCTCCCGGGGCTCCCTTGGCTTTCTTCTCGCTTGCTGCCTTGGTGCCACGGCTGTGGTCCAGCATGGCGTAGAGCACGGGCGCCTGTGGCGCCGGGGCAGCATCGGCGCCACGGTACGCCCCTGCCCTGGAGGCTTCACCCCGCAGCCTCTCCTCCCACCCCAAAAGGTAGGAGAGGTGTTCGCCCCCCGGCTAGGACATTTTGCCCCTTCCGACCCCTCGGCGCTCACCTGCCGGCTGCGCTTGGACGCGTCCTTGGCCGATCGCTGCAGCTTTCCCTTCTCCATGGCACTAAAATTGGGGTGGAGAGGCAAAAAGGTGTCTCAGAAAGGCCAACACGCCCCCCCCAGGTCCCACCCAGCAGCCCCGTTTCGGGGTGGTTTTGCCCCAATTGGGCAGTGGGGCTCACCTCAGCCGTCGCTGCAGGCGGCGCCCCGCCCCCCCCCAGCCAGCAGTGGCGGATGAGATAAACGAGGGCCACCACCACGGCCACCAGCAGCAGAGCCCCGCCAATGATGGAGCCCAGCACGACGCCGTAGCGGGTGGGCACTGTGGGGACACCAGCGTCCCGTCAGCCCCCCTGGCCGGAGCAGGGAAACTGAGGCAGGGAGGGGTGTACGCCAGCGCCATACCTTTCTCGAAGACGTAGAGCGTGACCTGGGAGGACTTGCCCACAATGTCAGGGGGGTTCTTGACATCGCAGGTGAAGGTGCCATTGTCAGTGTAGTCCAGGTTGTGGATGACGATGGAGCCATCCTTGCGGCGAGGGTTGCCCACCCACTCCATCCGCTCCTTGAAGCTGCCCACGTCATCGATGTAGGGCTGGCCCTTGGCATAGTGGAATATCTAGCAATGGGGACAGACACACAGACATGGGGTCACGGTGCCTCCAGGCACGGCAGGGCTACCCCGCGCCCCGAAGCAGAGCAGGCGCTTACGGAGGTGCTGTCGCGGGATCCCTCAGCTTGGAAGTGCCACGTGATGGAGATGTCCTCGGAGATCCACTCGCTGGACCAGAAGCTGCAGGAGAGGGTGACGTGGGAGCCGACAGTACCGTACACCTCCCGCTGTGTGTACACGTGGATGGAGGATGTCGGGGACAGCCCTGCCAGGGGGCACAAACCCGTCAGCCCCGTGGGGGACCCCGGCACAGGGATGGTGCCCATCACCAGGGCC